GAACCACAGCAACCTGAGCCTGACTGCTTTGTTGAAGCAGCCACTTAAAGAACTGAGCTAAGGGGCAGGCCCCCTACACCTGTATTTTTATTTGTGGTTGTTTTTAATTTAAAACACAAAACGGGCCGGGGAGATGGTTCAGTGGAATAAGCACTTCCCTGGCAAGCTCAAGGGCCTGAGTTCAATCCCCGGTTCTGCCAAAACAAAAACAAAAACAAAAACCCACAAAGCGTACAATTCCATGGTGTCTGGCGCACTCCCCGTGTTGTGGAGTGTCCTGCCCCCTCTGGGTCTGGATCCATATTCTGTTACTGTGACAAAATCCCTGAGACCATGTGATTGATTGAGAAAGAATAGTGATTCTGCCCGGTGTGGCGGTGCAGTCTGCCATCCCAGCTACTTGGGAGGCAGGAGGATCACAAGTCCCAGGACAGAGTGGGCAATTTAGTGAGACCCTGTCTCAAAAATATAAAAAGGCTGAGGATGGAGTTCCGTGACGGCACGTGCTCAGTGTGTGTGTGACACCTGGCTCCGTCCCAGCACACAACATTCACTGTTGTGCTTGGTCCTGGAGGCTGGGGCCGGCATCTCCCTGGCTTCTGGGGACAGCACCGAGCAGGAGGACATGCAGAGCAGGAGACCAAACAGGAAGGGAAGCTTTGGTCCCTGCAGCCCCACACCAAGCCCGGTGCAGCTAGCATCCAGGCCTTCGCTGAGCCCCAACTTCTCTGCGTAGCTTTCAGTGTGAGGGTCGGAAGGGGCCAACCGCATCATGGCCTCTGCTTTCTACTCTGTGTGTTGGGCCAAGAGCCCAGACAGTTTTCTTAGGGACCTGGGAGGTAGCTTAGTGGCATAAGTGCCTGCCTGGCAAGCACAAGATCCTGAGTTCAATCCCTGGTACCACAAAAAAGAAAAGAAAAAAACGTTATCTCTTTTGTCTTTTTGAGACAGGGTCTCACTCTGCGGTTTAGGCTGGTCTTGAGCTTACTTTGTAGCCCAGGCTGGTCTCAAATTCACAAGGATCCTCCTGTTTCAGCCTCCCAAGTGCTGGGATTCAAAAATGTGCGCCACCACACCCAGCTAAGAGTTTTCTTGTTCCATTTTGTAGGGTTTTTTTGTTTTTGTTTTTTGT